ACAAACTTGATTTTTCAAATAAAAACTAGCTATTAATCTGTTTTACTGTACACATTAAACAGATGATATTTAGTAAAATGTCTATGTATCTCAATCAAAATTCGAACGAATAGTTTTTGAGTTATTAAAATGTGTACCTACCTATATTAAAGTTAATAGCGATTAAAAATAGTTTTACAAAAATATAAAATAAATATCACATTGAATCTAGTACTGATCATACATTAAGACATTTTTTCACCAAATGATATTAAAAATAAAAGTACTTATTTGAAAATCTGGTGTTTATAACAAAATAAAATTGAAAATTCCAAAATTCAGAATTTAATAAATTTATGTTTATAGAAAAAAATGGCCATGAGCATGCTTGATGAATCACCTTTTAGTCATTTCACCTATATTACCTATATAAAAAATAAATATCAAACTGTAATAAACATACACGGGTGGTCAGTCGGATACTCGGATCAACGCACGTTGAGTGGTACGACGTATTATTTTATGGTCAAATAGTAAAATTCGTTTATACATCTTGTAGGTACCTACGTTATCATGGCATACACTATTGTAAAGTAGTACACTATACAGTGTACACTATTTACCGCGATTGCCACGGGTTACATTACATGTGATTAATCCCGGAATTCGATATAATTACTACAGTATATTTACTATTGTGTGTATCATATAATTATATATATAAACACAGGTATATATAGATTTCCGCGTTCATAATATATATGTTTGGGGCAATGAATACTACTCGAGTTTGTGGTTTATGATGGTCATCGTTCCTAAATAGCACACTTGTATGTGTACCTATATATAATAAATATAACGAGCGTAACATAAGTGCACGCAGTTTTTTATTGAGATCAAATCTTAGGATTTTTTATCCATTGAAGGACACCCGGACCGGCCACCACGGAGGTGAGATCAACAAATTGTTTTTATTTGTTCGCTATATAAACATATTATACAGACAATTTTCCCCTAAGGCAATGTCGTATATTTAAAAACAGACACATACACACATACATTATTGTTATACTATTTGCATTATACACACGAACACACCCATATAATATTGTCTAAATAAATATATTATATTATATATAAATAACCTGTGTAGTCATTTTTTTGTACAACTCGCGTTTTGTGTCGTGCATGTGTGTATAAAACAATCCGAATATAATGACGATAATAATATGCGCTTTTTTTTCTTTTCCTTTTTTGCAATAATTTGAAGGCTATAATGTTCAGTTTGCTGCTGCTCGATGGGTAGGAGATTTCACGATTTTTTTCAATGTTGAACTGAATGTAACCTATGTAATATTATAGTAGCAAGTATTGTAGGTAACAATAAATTATGTTTCGAAATCGCGCAAGGGATTTATTGTGATGACAACGCGTGCAGATTCTATGTTTAAATATAATATACATCTGTCGTCTTGCAGCACAGTCTACAAACACACAATGTAATATTATAATAATATTAATACAAGTCGACGATATTACATGGGTACTAAACTGAAGTATTTAAGTATATAGGTATGCGTGGGCCGGTCAGACATTCAGGACGTCAGTATAGATAAACTATAGCTATAATATCCTTATTATTTTTTTTTCGTCGAGACGACCAATTTATTGATGTAACACATTGTTTATAATATTGTATCGTCTACATTATCCGGGGAATGGTCGAAAATACCGTCATATTCGTATAATAATATGCGATTATATTACATTAAACTATTTTAGTGGCGTGAGTGCATAACTATAATGTGTAGGTATATACCTGCAACCCGCAGCTATTATATACAGATATATAACAATTTATCCGATTTTTCTAGTAAAATTCCCGTAACCGTCACGGAAGTGTATCGATAATGTTCTTCTTCGGACGATCTATCATTATTTTTTATTACGTACTGATCTATGAACCGGAATGAAAAGCAAGATCAGAACTACTGCAGTACAAAGAAACATTTTCGGAGATTTCGTCTGGACATTTTAAAACGATATAAATTTTATGAAATGCATTTCGATTCAAATTTCAAGTTACGATAGTTCTAGTACAAATGTACATACATAGTTTGTACTTCATCATTATTATTATACTATTGCACTGTTTTTAAGTACCCTTCAAATTCAAAATTATATCTTTTGTTATTATGTCGATCTCTTTTATAGACATTAATGAATTTTACGCAACACTGCCGACTAATAATACGTAGTCTTCAGAAAGATTTTTTTTTTAAATAAAGATGCATGTACTGCATATTGCATCATGAAAACTTTATTTATTTATTTTTTAACAAAGAAATGTAAAAATGGTAGTAATGTTTTTATTTTTATCATTTTGATTCATTAGAACCATGATTGAATAATGAACTACTGCAACATGTAATAAAAAGAATCTGTCTGCTATAAAACTATTTCATTAATTATATAGTTATCTGTATAATCATAACTCATAACCATGTCATCGTTATTCAAAAAATAGAATGTGAAATCGTATAATTCATATTACGTATAAATAATTTTACGGTCGATTAGTCAAAAATAATGTTTTGATTACACTAATTCGTCCACCAACAAGTAAATAGTACATAACAATACATATTATAAATAGCTATATGGTAAATAAATAAATAATTATATATTTATAGACGTAAATATATATACTATTAGAAACATTAGTATTTACTACTTTTAATTAAATTATTGGAGAGTTCTATGGAACAACAGTAAATCATCCTTTTCAAATTTATTTTATTATATACATTTATTTATCATTTATTTTGTAATTGATCATCTCAACTATCAAATTAAGTTTTTATGCAACGTATTGCTAGTTAGGTACTTCAATACTTCATGTACCTACAAAATATGTGCATAATATCATAAGAAAAAAAACCAATAAGTGATAATCAAATTTTCTCTCTCTAATAAGTATAGGTATATTTTTGTTAGAATTATATTTACTATCATAATAGTAATCTGTGATGATAAATAATGATTTATACATATTATGTAGGAATAACTTGCTATATTAGAACCAACATCATAATAAGATTATATTACAAAACAATTTCTAGTTTAATTTTATAGTTATGTTACAATATATTTAATATTTATTTAAAATACTCAGGATAAAGTTTACTTTTTAACATAAATTTATAGTATTCAGGTGATTTTGGTGTGACTACTTATTAATAAAAACATTTTTTTTTTATATATATATATATATATATATATATATATATATAAATATATATATGACATAATATATATGTATGCATTTTTACAATCGTCGATTATTTTTATTTGAAATAATAAAAGAGTTAATTTAAATTATGTCACGCAACAGTTCTTCCAGTTTTTAACGAAATCCAGATTATTTTTTAGTTTAGGTATGCAATTGAAATCTCATCAAATAAAAATACAAAACAACCCTGGTTTTTTTTTTATATATTCACTTTTTCCCTGCCCTCTCATCAAAAATTTAAACGAGCTGTTATTATTAGAAAATCAATTTAAATAGGTTTATCACCTTTGATGAGTTTATAGATAAAATCATCATCACTCAATAATAAATATAAAAACTGTTGCAAATGGTAATAAAATGTCTAACTCAGTTTTGGATTCTTATAGTTGTGAATTATTATAATTTATATTTATTATTTTTTGTCAATACTGGTTCAATTAAAGATAATCATATCGATTAAAGTTCAACATACAAATTATACCTAATTTTAATTAATAAATAAGTAATTAATGATATTAATAATTTCGTAAAATAAGTAAATTCATGACAGAACACAAACGTATACATTTTACTTGAAATAAAATAAAAAGTACTAAAAAACATGTAGATATTATTGTATTTTTTATAAAGATCAAGAATTATAATCGGTATAAGTGATGAATAAATGTAAGATATTGTACATACATAACAGTCTGTGAGTATTCTTAAATCTAACTATATATTACATTTTTTATCATAGAAAATAGTTGGTCTAGTTGGTATAATAGTCATTCTGTGTTTAATCATGCATGTCTCGTATACGCATGTACTTTGTATATTGTTTATAGTTTTTCGTTGTGCCTATATACGTTATTATTATTTATAATGTTATTTGAGTGCCAGATTATATGTACCTACTTTAGAGCGCACTTGTGTACAAGGTGTAGTAGAGTACTTTCGTATATAGACACGTAGTAGGTACCTATGTAATAATGTATGTTATATGTATATATTATATAGGTACATTACCTAGCCACCTAGGTCATACATTAATTATAAACACTTAGATATACAAACAATGAAATATTAATAAATAATACAGTTAAAATCACGATCGATCTCACTACGAATATAAAACAGTATACCTAATACCTATTATACCATATTGATTATAATTTATAATAATATAGGACCGTGATAAAACGAATGTATTTTAATAACATCAAACATGTATAATTAATATTACGGTTCTTGTCTTATTATTGGTGACAAATATATTAGTTTTATACTTGCATATTATGTATAACCAATTTTTAAACATCAGAGTTCATTCTACCTTTTTAATAGTATTCCATAATAATCAGGGAACGACTCAATCATTTGTCATATTTTTTTATTTTTATAACCTTCAAGTTTTATAATTTTTTTTTAAATTTAAAATTATTAATGTTTGCTATATAAAAATAATAACGATTTAATCATTGGAAAGTTGAAAAAATGTCAATAATTATACTAGGTTAGAGTGGTTGACTTATAATATTAATCTACCACTAGTTTATAGCTCACCTAAAATGTGTTGGTAAATTCCTTGTATTATTTTCGCGACGTTGGCATACCTAAGTGTTTAATATTGAAAATGCATTTTAAATATAATATAAGGTTAATATTGTTCGTAGCCCGAAGCATATTATCCTGTATGTTTTAACTATGATTATACCAATTTAAAAAAGTGTGTATTGTTATTTTACAGGTCAAGCAATGGGCCTAGATGGGGCCAAAGCGTTAATGGTTTTGATTCTTTACGCGTTGAGGCTTCAACAGAAGGCTCACGCAGACATCAAAGTGGGTAACGCCATCAACGTGTTTAATCGTTATGGATACTTCAGCATAAGTATGAGGGTAGTCCCCAGAAATGACACAGATCATTCATGGATATTCAGAGAACCCACGGTGGACGTGTTTACGAATTTACCGGAAAAACAAAGGTAAATATAAAATAAGTATTGAATAAATAATATATTAGTTAGGATAAAATATATATTAAAATGTTTATTATTGCATTTAAATCTAAAAAAAAAAAATGTATATTTAATTTAATATTAGCCTCAAAAGAAGCATCGGAGTGGGAGGAAATCAAGTCTTCCAAGGAGACTTCCACATGGAATTTTGTGATAATGTAAAACAATTATTGCAAGCCTACTTTAGAGATTTTTCTGTAGAAAGGCTGGAGAAACCGTGGCAGGCGTTTACAGGAAGCTGGTCCAAATTTACGATAGCTAGAAATTTAGGTTTGTTGGATAATACACACATTTATAATATATAAATATAACACATGGGTGTAGGTAAGGGGATTTTGGGTGTTCAACCCCCCCCCCCCCCCCCGAAATTAAAGATAAAACTGAATAAATAATTCATATTTAATTTTAGTGTTTTATAATATTAATATAGACCTAGATTCAAACCCTCTCCGAAAATATTTCCTACCTACGCCCATGAATTATGACATAATACCATAAGTAAGTCGAGAATGTTAATTTATTATTTATGGTGAATAATATGCATTTTATCCACGCATAAATAGGTACCAAAAATGAATTAATCTGGTTGATTATGAAATAATGCACTAGGTACAATATCATCAAAATCTTCTTTATTCATGTATTATTACCTACAAACCATCGATATATATGTATATAATATTTCAATGCAGGTTTAGATGTGTCTTATGTAACCGGCGATCATTGTTATGTTCTCGTCAGGGTGGCTAGGCATAGGGAGACTGCTAATTTAGCAATGGATATGGAGAGCACCGACCTTCACGAACCAGTGGCCAAACAGGTGGCCTCTGTTAATGTCGGCGATAGTTTGTCGGTCATTGAATTCGTCAGGAGTTTTGGATCTCATTACGTGACGTCATATGTCACAGGCAATTCTCTCTATCAGGTAAGTGTTCATTGTTTTGCGCATTGCAGTTAATCTATTGGCAATTAAAGCCTAAACACAGTTGATTACGATATAATGACGTGCGATATGACAAGGTATTCGTCGTAAAATTATTGCTCAAGAAAGCTTATTATTACATCTGCACAAAATATACCAATTACCTACTACAGGTATTACCACATATATTCAATTCTACCATATCTGAATTCTGGAATAATATTAAATGTTATTTTATCCGTTTTTTTTTTCATTTATCTATAAAATAAATTTTAAAAATTTCAAAAATTTCAATCATTATTGAAAAAAAGATTGCAAATGACTACTCTAGAATATTTCTAAGTATTTCTAATACATTCTATTCAAAACGTATTCACCTAATATTTCATATAATCCGCACAAACGCTTAAAGGGATATAAAGGTTAATATTTAACTTTTATTTACATATTAACTTTAAAAATAAAAATTTTACATAATAATTAAGTTTATTTTATCGAATTTTTCATCGAATGGTTTTTAATAATTATGATATTGCAATACTTAATAATCGAAGTAAACTTAATTGATTTTATCAGAATGGTATTATAAAATACAAAATAAGTGTTAAAAAATAATTTAAACACTATTACTATTTTATACTACCTATTAAGGAATAAGGGCATATTCACAAGAATAGAGCACAGCGTCCCTGACTGTTTTTTCTCTACCATTTGTCGTGTATTTGTGTGGAAGTATTACATTTTATGATGATTTTTAATAACTATAAAAATATATTACCTACGTTAATTATTTATATTATATCTTCGTATTTAATTAAATATGTGAATAGATTATTTTGTAATAATTATGCATGAAACTTACCTCATTAATATTATGTTGATATTTATTAGTATATTATGCAATTTTGAATTTCTTTGTGCCCTTCCCCCCCCCCTTCTTCCCCAATTCATTCGATTTCTTTAAATAATTTACTGCTACCTATATAATGTTACTTATATATTTATTTTGCATTAACTGTTTAGGTGTATGTATACGCTCCAAATGCTTACAAAGTAATAAAAGAACGTTTAAAAACAAAAGGCGTATCGCAGATCTCTAATCAAGAGTTGATTGGATACTTTTCACCATGGTATGCAGAACATGTGGGTAAAATACAATCAGCTAGTGGTAATGCAACAGTTGAAAATTGGGCACACCAAAGGCTAAGAGTGAAATTTTTTGTCTTTGGATTCGCCTCATTACTAAAATTACACGGAGATACAAAACTGTTAAGTGAACTGAATGGAATGTTAGGCAATGAAGCATTACTTAAGCTTGACTTAAGAACCTTGGCGCCGGCTTTTAAAGACATTCAAAAACGAGCTTGGTTCCACGAAGTAATGGATAATAATTTAAAATTATGGGAAGTTAATATGTAATAAAAATAATTCCTAAAAAATCCAATATTACGATGTATTTATTATAATTAGTAAGGTACCTCCAACTTTCGCTCAAATGCCAAATACTAATGTACCTAAAATCATTACCTATATAATATTAGTATGTTTTTTTGTTGAGCAATAAATACTGTATTATAAATAATTATTGATAATATATGTTTTTAATAAAGTCTTTATTTATGTAAATTACAAATAAAAATTATTGTCATTTGTTTTTTATTTAGTTACAAACAAAAATTATTGTCATTTGTTTTATTATTGTCATACAGTATACTTAATAATACATGGTAATTAATATTAAATGCTAAGACTAGACATGGACTAGTAATACTTATATAGTAGGTACTTGAAACAAAAATACACATTTCAATTACCTCCTAATGTAAAAGAAAGATATTAAATTATTATAAAATATTAAATAATTATTGTTTAAAATAACTAATGCATAGTACCTATATAAAAAACTATTATTTTTCTAAATTACTCTCATTGCTTCTCCATTATGTAAATATTTTCCAATAATCTACAAACTTATGTTTAAAGATTACTGATAGATATCTACTATCTATCGGTCTCTATGTTTTGAACAGAAAAAAAGTTATTTACTATCTTTAGTTATTCATTGAGTAGATAACAATTAAAATGTTAATGTTTAAATTAATTTTTTTAATTATTTAATGACTTTTGATTTAAATAATTTAAAAAGAATAAGTGAATTTTTAATTAAATAAAAGAAGCTCTGACCTCTACTTTTTTTATAAATTCAAGCATGAGAGTAGGAATGTCCATTATGTATATATATCATAAAATATGTTTCTTTTACAATATTCAAATAATTAATTTGAGTATACTTGAGAAAACTTGGGTACAAAAACACACTTTTTAAATGATATTAACAATAACTTTAAGCTATGAGTATACTAATATAATATATATATCTATATAAGGTAATCATTAAGAATAAATTAATCTATCATTTGTTCTACCTTCTATATTCTATGATTATATGACATAAAAATAGATACTTAGATACTAGTAATCCACTATAGATCTATAGTTATTACAACATTACTTTGTATTATTTTAAGTTAAATTATTAAACCAGGTATACAAGATCATTATTGAGTTAATTTTAGGGGGAGGGAGATGAAGGAGTTATATTTTTTTAAAACCAAAGTCAATAAACTTTGCCTTGTAGAAATCCATCATTAAAATTACAGAGAAAGAAAAAGATTTCAGATAGCATTTGAACTCTTAATCTCCCCCCCTCCACGTTTTTTTTTATGGATATAAAAATAAAAATAAGAATATATTTTTAAACAATAAAGAAGAATTATTAAAAATGAAAATAAATAGGTAAATAATTGTAACATGAACATAAATTAATATAAAATATATCTAGTATTATAATTAGTATACTTAAATTAAATATGTATATTTTTTTTTATTTTGTAAATAACAGTAAAAATAAAATAAAATAATGATAGAGTATACATTTTATTATACTATATATTAAAAATTATTTGATACTTATTTAGTGTAGTATCTATTACTTACAAATAACTATAATTATAAAGCCTTTAAATAATTCATTATTTCAGCAAGACGACAAATAACTTTATTAAAATATAAATCTACTGACTATAATTATGAAGAATTTATAAATTAAATAATCACAAATTCACAAAATACTTTAAAATACATATTAACCAATTAACCCAATGATTCACATTCGGCTGAACTCAAATAATTTATCTATAAAATGCTGTTGAATATCTCAAAAAAATATAGGTTGCAGTTTGTACATAGGAAATATATTAATTGAGTAAGTACTGTTATAATCATTGAAAAATATTATTTAATTAAAAAACAAAAACAAATTTTAAATGCAAATTGGTACTTATATAACATTAATTTAAAAACAAAAAAATACTAGAAATGGAAGATTAATTTTTAATTTTATTATTGTTATTATTATTTTACTAATGTACTTTAAAATCTATTCTTTATTGGATAGTTATTATTTTTTATATTTATATAAAATACTATTTTGAAGAAACTTTTTCTAATTTATTATACAAGTAAAATTAGAGTGGTTTAGATAATAAACTTCATTACATAAAAATGTAATAAAACATCTAAAATAGAATAAGGTACTTATTTATTTCAGGCACTAAATGTTTAATCATTTCATCTGACTTAAACTATTCACAAAGAATAATATCTACAAAAGATGTAACCAATATTATCATGAAAATTATAAATTATTTATACTTAATATAATAAATATTACTAGCTTCAATATTATTTATTTGAATTTAAAAATAGTATGAGAATTTTTAATTTTAAAATGACTGTGTAATTCACTATGTATTTTTAATTTAAGTACACAGTTGTGATACTGCTTGCCATATAAAATTAATAAAAAAAAAAAAAAAAAAAAATGTTTAATTTATATCTTAACAAAAAAAAAAATATTGTGATACTGATTAAATAAAAATATATTTCAAATTTTAATTTTGTACACATTTTAAGTTCTTTAGTAACAATTATTATTATAAATTAAATGGTTTATTTTAAGTAAAATTACTAAAATAATTAACGTTATTAACTGTCATTATTTTAAGCAGACTTACTATGTTCCTTTTGGCACTCTAGTTCTTTCATTTTTAATTTAATTTCTGTAACATTAGCATGTACATGGTTTTCCAACTTTTTTGATTCGTCTTCAGATACCTTTTTATGAGCTCGAGCAAAATGTTTTTGGAGTAAAAAGTTTCTAGTAAATGCTGCTTGGCACAAGTTACATTTAAAGGGCCTTTCTCCTTTAAATAAACAAATCACAATACATTTAATTAAAACAATTAATAACAAACATTGATTTTTCTTTTAATACTTGTAGTGACAATATAAATCTTCAAAATAGTTATTTTTATCAAACTAACAATAATTATACCTAAATAACATAAAATGGAATACCTGTATGAATGAGTAAATGCCTTTTAAGATCAGTTGTCCACCCAAATTTTTTACTACACAAACTACACTCAAAAGCTTTGTCTTTTTCTTTATTTTTTTTAGTTACTTTTTTAATTGATTTAACTGGGTTATCATTATTCTCTTCAAATGTAGCCAAACAATATTTCCAAGGATTAAGAGTTTCACCCACTGTCAATTTTAATGGCTTAGAAGATCCATAATTACTAGTTTCTACTGGTTTTTTTTTAGAAGTTGAACTACTTTTATTGTTATCAGCTTTAACCAATTTTTCTTCTTCGACATGACTAAAAAAATGTACTAATAATGATGTAGCAGAATAAAAACATTTGTGGCAATCCGGGCATTTTTGAGAATAATCTGAAAAAATTTTAATTGAATTGTTTAGAAAATTTGAATAAATAATTAATATAAATTAATTACAGATTTTTAAAGAATTTAAAAATTAAAATGTACAATTAAAAAAAGTAAACTTTTTATAATACATTTAACTTGTTTAAGTATAACTGAAAATATGTTTGTAATATTAAATTCATAATATGATAAGTACATGTATGTAAACACAAATACTAAACTTTAGATTACAAGTCATTGAGTTAACTTGAGAATATTTGTGAGTAAAAACATAACATCAGCATTGATCATAAATCATAATATATTACTTTAAATTCAAAATTTCATGAGAAAATTGAATTTCTATTATTACATTCTATATTTTTGTTTACCATAAATAGTATTAAGTAAGTCTTCATCCCATTAACAACTGCTTCATGATAATTTTAAAGAGATACAATGATTTAACTATATAATCATAAAAATATAAGTAACATATTGAAATTTTTGCTTACTTAGTGTTTAGAAAATGCATTTTTATTTATCATTTTTTCAAAAAAAGGTCTATTCTTAAGCATTTAATACTAAAATATATGATACCTAAAATGATTAAGTACAAACAATTAATTGTAATAATGATAATATTAATAGATATTTATATGTATATATATATATAGGAGCTATTTATACAATTTTACAATACACTACCTAGTGGATTGTTAGAATGTTTAAAGATTTATTTATAATACCCATCCAATAAATATTGACTAACAGAAACAGTTATACAACAAGATCAATAATACTGAAATAATTTCAGAATCATTTACCTGTATAAATATTCATTAGATAATATAATTTATTGAACTTAATTACACATTTATAAAAAGGTTAAGACAATATTTACAAGTTCAATAAAGTATCACTCAGAAAAAAAATATGATAACTATTAAGTTACTTTCAGCGTAATGAACAAAATAAAGGGTAGACTGTAGTGTAGATATTTAATAATAGCACCGGCTTGAATAATAATTTAATTTAGTTGACAAAAGATTAGTAAAGTATTCAGAAAATTTAGCAAAAGTAAAATAAAAAATAATCTAATAACTAATAAGTTTATGTTTATAGTATTTATGCTGTATGATAATATTGTTTATTATTTAAGTTATCTATAGATAATTTTAGCGGGTGTAATCACGTTAGAACAAAACCAAATGTCTGTGATAAGATTTCATAAACGTCAAACGATAATAAATCTTAATCGACAATTATTGTGCTGAACATTTACAATGAAATTATTGTAAGTACTTGTACGTTTTGTTCAAATTTTAAACTAAACTAAGTGGTATTGTAAAGCTGAAGAGATTGCACTTTGCACGTTAGACCGCGTTAATTTCAGAAACTACTGAATTGATTTCATTAAATGAACAAAAGTTATATCAACAAATTCTCTGAGACTCGGAAAATGTTGTCACTTCTTTGTTTACCACTATAACTTATAATTTACTATAAAGGATTAGGATATCTCACCCTACGCCACAATTATGAAGTTCGTCTTAGTTCACAAAAATCAATAATTTTTTTATTTATATAATTATGTGTTGTGTATAAGGTTACTATTGGTTAAAAAATATAACAATATAAAAAAAATCTTAACTAATATGATTAGGTAGGTGCATAATAAATATTAATATTTGATGACTGATATTATGAGAAAATGAGATCAATGATCATTATTAACATCGAACATAATAATAATATTTTTTATATCATAATATACGGGTCGTATTGTTGAGATTTCTGTTGCCTGTATGAGATTCTACAGCTGATGATATTATTTCACAACGCTTTTGTTTTAAATACCTACGACGCGTACGTAGCAAAGTCACGTAGGCATAATATCGTAAAATAATATTACAATTTCATAATTTATGCATGATGCATTATTATTATATATTACGCTGTGTCCCTGGTCCGCGCCCCGCGAATTTCAAAATTATCAAAATGTTAACGCCCCGCAACGCCCGGCGGGCACAAACCGCAGACTTCAGATCAGTAGTAGCTATAGACTTTAGGTGCTGTACACTGCTTATCCGGTCCACGGCCCACCGCCTTTCTATTACAATAAATTTACAGTCACACTCACTACCCGAGACCGCGTTCACAATAATAATAATAAACTATCACGATTTTCAAGTACGTAAGGATTACTGCATTATATAGTGTTCGTGTTTACGGTAGAAGTAGAAGTCACTGATTCGCTGTATAGTCGCTGTTTAGTCGTTCGGTGTTCACCAGTTCACCACTCACTTGCGACACGGGCTCGTCGGCAGACACACGTTCTCTCCTCAGTCCTCTGTAATAGTCGTATGCTCTTACGTCGGTTTTATTGTTGCACACATCGTCGCCCGTTATTATTATTTGATCGTACACTCAGACGCCTAGACGGTCGAGAGCCACTTGCGTTTTAAGATTTTAACCGCTTTCGGTGTTTCATACACTATATTATTGTCGTTTACGGCCGAATCAAACCGCTCACCAGGATGGCTGCCGGCAAAGTATTGGTGTACGGAGGAAAAGGAGCGTTGGGATCGACGTGCATATCACTCCTCTCGTCTCAAAAATATGTAAGCATAATAAACGGTTGTATACCCACCTGTAATAAATAATAATAATAAATAATAATAACGATACCTATCCATAGTACCTAATGTAAGTTTTATCGCTGCTCGGTATAGTGACTATGGTGCAGCTATAACTGCCTACTGCAATGAAAGTATACCTACTATATTCGACCGATATAATTATACGAATCGTTATAATTCGAGGTCACCTAGTACCTACTAATAACACAATATTCCAGTCTCACGATCGTTTGAAAATGTATAAATAGTTTTACACCGGTAATATTTCTATATATTTGACGTAATATGATTTTTAATCAAATTAGAAGTTATTTAAATACAAGAAAACTACTATCTCGTTCATAGAAAAGCATATAATTGAAATTAATTTTATTTATGAAGCCAGATGAAAACGAATACATACCAATATGAATTAAACATTATAATTAAATATGATTATATTTATTGAAATTAGTGTACTGAGAATTTTACTTTATCAATTATTCAATTCCTATGAATATAAATGTCCTGTATTATGATTATAAAATAATCTTAAAAAATTTAATGATGAAAATAATTAGTTACTGTATAGTTATGCGATAAACAAAATATTAAAGTATTAAAATTAATTTTGGTAGATTTTTATTAAAAAACATTTAAATTATAATCATCATTGTAACACTAATAACATTTAATTATTTTACTGTATTTATTTAAAGATTGAAAACACATCAAATAATTAAATACTACAATATATTTCTTACAGCCTACAGGTATCTACTATAAAATAATTGACAATATAAAAGTGTCTACAGATTACATAATTGCCAAGACTAATGTGTTTGAAAAATCAAGTGATAAATAATAAATTTATGATTTTTTATAATATATTTACTTAACTTTATTTATATTTATTTTTGTTACGTAAACTACATTATAGTCTTAAGAATATTAACATATTTGGGTAAATATTTCAAAAATGTCTTGTTAATTGTTATGCATTTAATATGAAATACTTAATATTAAAAGTAATTAATTTTATGGTTTAGAAGATTTAGTAATAAAATAGCTCAAATAGTCATTTTACATTACATAATTTGTAGATGTCGTATTCAATTTTTATTGACTTATTATATGAATACTAATTCTATAAATGAATGGATAATATATTAGTTAAAACTAATATTCAAAATATGATGAATAAGTACTATTGAAATAATAATGTATAAGGTCTAAGTAGTATATTATGCAATTAGCACATGCCCATAGTATTATAGTATCATTATTATATAACATAATTAGTTTTAATTATTATTTTTATTTTTCAGTGGGTTGGATCAATAGACCTAACAAAAAATGAAAATGCGAATGCTAATGTGATTGTTGAACGAGATGCTACAATATTAGAACAAGTAAAACAACCTCATAATAGTTCTATAATATAATTATAATGTACAATAAATTTTATCTTAAAATATTCATTACATTTGTAAAATTAAAATAGGACTAGGATAAACTAAGATAGTCTGTGCTTGTAAATAAACTTATAAATGAGAAATTACTCCTTTCTAAATTGAATTGATCTATTTATTCCTGTCAAATTTTCTGTGCAATTTGGAGCAATAAAAATAACTACATATATGTGTTAAGCGCTTTGTCTTTTGTATAACAATATGACTGTATCTGGCTACCCTGTATTAAATTAATTTAATTAAAAATACTTTTTAGTGAGAATTTTTTTTTTTATACGTGTTTTAAAATAAGAAAGCATATTGACAATTATAGAAGTTAAAAGGTTAACATCTATAATTTATTCATTTAATTCTTTTTTTTTACATTTTAAATAAATAAAGATAATAAATAATAATTATTAATAAACAATTTTTAAAATTGTCTTTTCTTTTTAAGGAATCTCAAATTTTGAAGGAGCTTAATTCCGTTTTAGGATCAGAAAAATTAGATGCTGTAATATGTGTTGCTGGTGGTTGGGCTGGTGGCAGTTCAAGCTCTAATGGTAAGTGGCAATTTTATTATTATGTAAAACACAGTTTTACAAAAAAATATTTATTAATTTTAATTTTTTTTATATGTGTAGATTTTGTGAAAAATACTGATTTGATGTTAAAACAAAGTGTTTGGAGCTCAGTATTAGCATCATCTATTGCATCAAAGTTCTTAAAACCTGGAGGTATTTTAGTATTGACTGGAGCTAAAGCTGCTCTAGATCCCACACCAGGAATGATTGGTTATGGTTTAGCTAAAGCAGCCATACATCATTTAACAAAATCATTGGCTGATGAAAATGGTGGTTTACCAAAAGGAGCTCAGGCACTTTCAATATTGCCTGTCACCCTTGATACACCTATGAATCGCAAATGGATGCCTAAAGCTGACACTTCAACTTGGACTCCATTAGAATTTGTTGCTGAGTAAGTACTGTTGTTTAACAAAATTTAATTTAGTAAATAATTTGTTTTTTAGGTATATATTATACTAATTTCTAATGTGCTGAAAATATATAACATGCATAATATGGTTATTATTCCTTTAAAACAATAAATATACATACAATAAAAATTATTTAGTAAACAATTCTAAAAGTAATTCACATATTAAATACCTTTTACTATTTAAAAGTAAAACTATATAATCATTAATAAATAAATATTATAATTTCATCTTTAATTTAGTTTCATATTTAAAAATAAAAATACATTTAACTTTTTAGAGTTCAAAACTAACTTAAATATTTAAATTACTTTAAACAATTTTAAATTTGATTTAAATTATTAAATTGAAAAAAAATAGTTCATTCTTTATTCTCTTTATTGTTTGTTTATATTTTCATTATGCATTTTTTTTTAAACTATAAATAAAACACAATTTTTTAAAGTTTCCTATTTTATTTTTCAGATTATTTTCTAAATGGATTAAAAATGAAGAAAGACCGCCAAATGGTTCACTTGTTCAGTTAAATACAAAGGAGAATAAAACAACTTTAGACATTGAATAATTCTTAAAATATCAAAAAAATCATTTCAAATCTTCAATTTTCTGTCTGTTAAATTGTACTTAATATTATAGATATATAATAATATATTTAAAAAAAATATATATATACATAATATATATTGTCCTACTCTATGGATTAAGGAGAGGTTTATTAAGTATATAAAATATAAAATTTGAATATTTTAATAAATCTTATTTTATTTTACATTAGGGATCGACTGTCATAATATTATATAATGGCGTAATAAAATTATAATTATGATTTAATAATGTGAGGGCGTAGGCACACTCATCAATGGCGATTCCAAATAATCAAAACTTGGCGGTTCTGGTGGTGGTTCTGAATCTGTTGATATCTTTTCTACAAAATCAGAGTATAGTTTGTGTACAGCTTCATCATGTGTTGAACTTGGTTGTAAAACTTTAGTTAATGTACTTAATCTACTTGGTGGTAACTTAGGATAAACATGCCACACTAGTTTTAATACATGTCTAACTACATTTTCTCTGCTCAATCCAGTGCAAAAGAATTCATCAAATATTACAGTACAAAAATCCTCAGCAGCAAATTCTTCGACTTGTTGTATTAATAGTGCTACCAAAAAATGGAGAAATGGATCCTCAAAAGCACGGTCATGGTCACAGTTGGCTAATGACCCCAATATTCTCATTAATGCTAACCTGTCTTTAGCTTTAGCAACATGTAATGTATAATACATAGCAACCGTACAAGCAACACTGCTCTCTTGAATATATGCTTGTACAGCATCTGGAACAGGTCCAGAGTGCTCAATAATGGTAATTGCTGATTCCCTTTCATCAAGAGGCATTTTAGTATTTAATGATCTAACTTGATCATCTACCATGAGTGACATCAAAGCAGGCATAAATTTTGTAACTACTTGACTGTCAAGTTTTGGTTCCTTAAAATCTTGGGTATCTATCATAACCCAAGCACTTAAACCAAGAGACAACATCCTCAACAACAAAACTAATACATGATTTTCCCTCGGTAAATTTTCATTATTAATTAAATGATGAAGTATTCGAATAGTTGAAGTCGCTAAGAAATTAATGGCATACGGATCACATAATGTCATTGACAAATCTCCCAATACTGTTTCATGTCCTCTTTTGATGCTATCTAAAAATCCTTGAAGTTCACGGGAACGTTTAACATCAACATTGCGTTCTCGAATACAAGCATCGAGACACCATGTGAACTTATGACACGGGTCAATAGATATAATATCTTGAATTTCCAGATCATGCAATGCCATTAAAAGTTCAGCTCTTAGTGTACAATAATGTACATTGTGAGTTCGTAAGAATAATGTTCTCAAAAATTGCAAAACCATATCATATAATTTTATACTAGAACCTATCATATGTGCAAGCTTCTGTACCACTTCTCCTTGACGTCTCAATTTTGGTGATGGTGTAAAGAATAAATTGGTTAAATTATTATGGTCAAAAAGAATATTTTCTTTTTCTCTTATGTACTGTGTTAATAGAGGAGACACTTCATTAACCAATAATGATTGATTGTCCTTCCAAATTTGTCTTTTCACTTCTGTATCTGTATCTTTGTAAAGTTCAGTGTCTTTAACTAATACATTCAAATATTTATCATCAATATGAGATATGTTTTTAAGAATAGCCATAATTATGGGTCTTAATTGTTTAATATGAACTGAAGGGAAACTTTTTGCCAACATGTCCTTAAGCTTACGATCGCGGTCGCGTCCTTCTTTTTTACCAATTTCTTCAATATGAGCAACTAATTTATCGCGCAGTGCTTCTAGTATAGAGTTATGAAAATCTAACCGGCGAATACCATGGAGATCAAGCAAAGGTAACATTTGACGGAGTGATGGCAAATGAATTCCATTGTCTACTTGAAATTCTTCAATAGCTTTTAAGGGGTCTGTACAGTTTGTCAGTGTTTCTAATAAATACGTTTGACCGTGTATACCTGATTCAGACTGTTGGTTTTGGTGAACCGTGAACATAGAACGTTGACGTCCACCACTCATTTTGAACGATTTAAATTTAAATTTGTTTTGTACAACTGTAAACAAAATTAGATAACGACGTTTAAAATTAATTTATTAGCTCTTAAATACATAACTTCTAAGTATATTAATTATAAAAAAAAAAATTAAAAACTCTTTGAACATTACGATTTACGATTATTACAATTAACGTATTAGACACAACACATACTTTAGAGTTAAGCAAGTAATACTTCTGATAAGTGATAATGAATAACAACGATAACCGTGTCACCGTGGTTAAAACGTCAAAACAAAAAATAATAATAACTGTTATTTTTTCTTCCAAGTAACAGCTTGTTCCTGTTATTGTACATACATAGTAACTGTTACTGTAGTAACTGTTATAAATAACTATTACTGTTATTAGTGTTATTATTTGAATTATTTGCCAATTTGCCATCACTCATTTCAAATTTCAAGTACTTCGTTCAGTTACGTATTGTGTTAACATTTGAAATCAAATGAAGGTAAGTACTTTGTCGTTTATTAAACAAAGATGGTCCAGATTTAAAAGATAAAACTGTAGCCATGAGCATTTATTATTATACATCGTTCAGGAAAGTTTAAAGCAAAGTACTGACGTGCCATGAAAATAATGGTTCATGTAAAAATAGTAGTGTCAAAATCAGTAATATACATTAATCAGAATTACTGAAATTTGTAGTTATTTTATGTTGAATATAATTGTTGCATTGAGATTTTTATTGTTTATGTGTTGTTTGCTGTCAATTGATCTTCAAGTCAAGTCTTTGGATCTTCAAGTCAAGTCGTTGGTGTTTATGAAATATCAAAGTAGTTCATCTTTATGATATAATTATAAATTATTATGTACCTAATATTAAATATTAAGATTTTTATTTTTATAAGTTTTGTTTTCATTATATTATTCTAAGATGACAAATCCATCTATTCTCTATCTAATAACTCACTAACTAATTAATTTATGTTATGTTTTGTATTTAATTGGTTTAATGAGTAAAAGTGATGCAGAAATATTTAATGTACATTTAAACATATAAATATAAAATATGTTTACTATAAATAAAATTAAGTCATAACAGATATTAGTATTTTATTTTATTATTATGATTTTGTCTGGCAATAATTAAATATGTTTAATTAAACTTTTTGAATAACTTAATTAATAGCTAATGGTGAACTGGATATTTAAAGCTGTCTGTTTCCTTTAATCAAAATTGTGTTTAATAATATTTTGATAATTTCA